TACGTGGAAGGGGCGTGCGGCCCTGGAAGCTGGACTCCGCCAAGGACACTCCGAAGGACCTTAGACGTCCCGGGGGTCCTGAGGCCCCCTGTCTGCTTCTGCTGCATTTCACAGCTCCTGGGTGCTGAGCATTCTGCTAGAAATTTTGCTACTGATTGGTTTTGGCGCACCTATCTCAGCCCGGGGAAGGGAATTAGGTTCCTTGATACTGTTCCTGTGAAGATTCAAACCAGTTGTGTTTGAGTGTACCGTTTTCCTCTGTGGTGCCCTTGATTCTTGAGGGATAATAAAACTGTGGCCGAGCGGGTAGCAGTCTAATAGTCTAATTTTATGTAGTGTTTCCATCTCTCATGTAGTATCTCTGATCTAAAATTCTCTTAATTTCCATATTTCTGAGTGCAGGATTGATACAGGTTTTTTGGGGGGCATTTTGTAAAAGTTCACCAGAACGATGAATGCAGATATCCTTTAACAGCTATTTTTTTGGGTGTATCTATACTTTGTATATTCTCACACACATGGAAAAGGATGTGTGTACAAGGTTGTTTGTAGATTGGATTGGGGACTGTTTCAGAAAATGTGTGGTGCATACAATCCATACAATTCAATACCACGAAGTTGTGAACAGTGTGTATACTTTGCCATTAGTTGTGTAGAAGGGTTGGGAAAGGTATAGTCATATTTGCCAGTATATGTATAAAAATTGCAGTCGGAAAGATACAAGTAGAGTAGTAACAAATTTCTTTGGAGAGAGGAACTGGTTGTTTGGGAGACAGGGTGGGAGAGATTTTCTCCTTTACCTATTTTTGCGCCTTTTGAACTTTACATCATGTGGACTTAATGTATGTATAATTTAAATAAAAATAATCCCTTGTCTTCTGGCTGCAGAATAGCATCTAATGATGCTTTAATGATATTGCCTAATTCCTGGCTGCAAAACTAAGAGTTTTTCCAAATATGAGAAGGAACTGAATAAAAGACGCTTTGGTTTAGAAAAAGTCCTCTCCTTTTCCTGAGAAGTAAAAGATGGAGAAACTGCCAGCAAGAAAGCCAACTCACCAAGGTGACTAGTCAGGCTTCTCCTGTTTTCTTCAAGGGTACAGCCCTAACATGTTTTGAGTCAAATCATGGGGGCACCGTCCTTATGTGAGAACATTTCTAAACTTTGGATATCTGACTCGGTACCCTGCAGCCCATACTGATTCTGAGTTCTTAGGTCCATCGCTGGAGGGCTGTGTCTGGATGAGGTGAGTGGATCAGGATCCACACATTGCCCTGCCTTTGTGTTTGGACTCCTGGGATGACTCTGGGTGTTGACAGCTACTGAAGGGTTTCAGTAAGGGAAACATGGATGTGTTGTGGAGCTCTACATCAAGTACATCGAATGTGGATCAAATCTCAAAACCAGTGAGGCAGAGTGCACTGCATTTTTGTGCCATCAGAGCATGGCAGACAGGAGAATGTGCCTCATAATTATGGAATGCAATCACAGCAGGGTCACAGCTGCTGCTTTGAAATTCTTTGTGAATTTGCTCCCGGCCCTAGCTCATGCCCCCAAGGGCTGGTTCCTGGCCCTGACTGAAGATAAGGCAGATACTGAGGAAGACACTTGCTGGGGAGATGGGACTCCTTTGTCAGCAGATTTTGGGTCAAGGACTTCTCCAAACACAGGGTGTTGCTGAACCTTTCTTAGACTGCAAGGCAATAGACATTCTACAACTAGAGATTAGTCTCTTCCCTAATTGTTTACCTGATTGGAAGAGGGTAGAGTCAGTCTTAGGTTTTATTCTTAGCCTTTCTTTAATCAGAACTCATCACTTGTTTCTCTCATCACTTTTCTCCTATAGTGCCCTCAACGAATATTTAGGAAATGAATGAACCATAGCATGCAGTTACAGAAAGAAGGTAATCCCTGCTGCTACTTAGCAGAGTTGGTGAAGGCAAGGCTGGATAGTCAAATCGGGATTTTTTAATGATCTGAGGCTTTGGAACCTGGGGTTTAAGTCAGAATTATCTGGATTCAGATACTCTGATCCTGCCATCTTGTGAAAAAGTCTTGGTCATTTAGGGCCTTAACTTTTTCATCTGTGGAATGGGATACTACTACCTACTTAATAGGGTTAAAAGTAAAAACAACATGACATATGGAAAGTACAAAGGATTTCCTTGGTGACCCAGTGGAGAGGAATCCACTTGTCAATGCAGAAGACATGGGTTCGATGCCTGGTCCAGGAAGACCCCACACGCCCCAGAGCAGCTCAGCCCCTGCACCACCCCGACTAAGCCTGTGCTCTAGGGCCCGGGAGTTGCAGCTGCTGAAGCCCGAATGCCCAGAGCTTGTACTCTGCAACAAGAGAAGCCTCCCAAACCAGAAGCCCATGCAATGAAGAGTAGCCCCCGCTTGCTGCATCAAGAGGAAGCCTGCACATGGCAACGAAGACCCAGCACAGCCAAAAATATAAGTACGAAGAAGATGCTCAGTAGACGTCCTCGCTTAGACCCTTTCCCTGGTCCTGTCTGCCAGCAATGAGGACACACACTTGGGGCCTCACCAAAGCTGCGGGTCTCTCTCTCCTCAGGCAGAACACGGATGGAGCTGGACCAGATGTGGTCCTTTCTGTACCAGTGGATGCCTCCGGGGGCCAGACAGGCGGCTGCACTGCTGGGAGGGCTGAGGGTGAGCCTTAGAGGCAGCCCTCTGTAACGACAGGGCTGCTGTTGGGCTGAAGTGGGTTGCTTCCACTGTGCAGCCCAGACGGAGCACAGCTGTAAATGTCTGCAGCCTGCAGGTCAGCAGTTTGAGACTTCTGTGCTCAGTTGATTCAGTGCATTTTTGAACAGCACATCAGAGCAATCACACCAGGTGTAGTATCTAAGTAGCCCCACTCCCTTCTCCTAACCTTGAGATTTCAGCCGCGTTGTCCTTAGGATAACTAGCTCTCATTGCTGAACTGTTTCTTAAGAATGAACCAAGCTTTATTTTTCCACTCAGTAGTTCTGGACATTGGCTTGTCTGCAGTATGTTGCTACTACGTACAGCTACAGTGAAACTTTTTAGTACAAGCTAAGTTTCTCAAGGGTAATGTTTTTTAAAATGTGAGTTGTGACCCACTGATGAGTTATGAAACAACTTAGTCAGAACCAGCATTTAAAAAAAAACATTTTAAGCATCCTGTGCTGGAAGCACTGGAGTTGCTTAACTGGTTGCCAGAGAAGTCTCCCAGCATTTTTTAAACGAAGTAACTTAGGACAGATATCAGATGCAGCTCACATTGTAGTGTTGTTTCATGTAATGTTTGAATGTTGTAACCTGTGTATACTCCACACATCCAAAGTGGTCCTGTGGATGATTCCCCAGCAGCATCTGGTCAGATCCACATCTGTACCAACACGCAATCTTAGAATTTTTGGCTGCTCTGTGTCTTCATTTTTGGGCAGGGGTTTTCTCTAGTTGTGGTGCACAGGTCTCTCATTGCAGTGGTTTCTCTTGTTGCAGAGCACAGGCTCTAGGGCACACAGGCTTAGTTGCCCAAAGGGATATGGTATCTTCCCAGACCAGGGATTGAACCTATGTCCGCTGCATTGGCAGGTGAACTCTTAACCACTAGACCACCAGGAAAGCCTACCGTCTTAAGATTTTTAATTTGTACCAATCTGGTAGGAGTCAGTTTGGTTTTATGTTTCCCTGATTAGCACTGGAGGCAGAGATCTGTTGGCCTCGTTCAAATTTTTTAAAAGGATCATTTATTCACCTGGTTGTTCAAATGGACTGCTGAAGTGAATCCAACTCTGTAACTTGCAAAGACTCCCATGCCTATACTAGCTATAGTATACTAGTATACTCCTATACTAGCTCACGAGTGACCACTGCAGGCCTTTTGTATCCAGTGGACAGAACTTGTGTCAGGCTGAGGACAATACGCAAAGGCACAGAAAGTGTGGAGTGACCTCTTGATGAGACAGCCTTAATCACGGCAGTCTTAAAGGGCCTGAAGTCTGCAGTATCTCGGGGCAGACCGCTTATGTTCATGGCAGGCATCTTCTAGTTACGGAAGGCTGCCACAGCACACTGACTCCTCCGGAGCGTGTCTGCGTCCCGAGTAGAGACGGGCAAAGCGGCCTGGGGGAGCAGACCCTGGGGTCAGTTGGGCTCACTCACTGGCCCGCCCCCGCCAGCACCTGGGATTCAGGCTTGTGCCTCAGCAGAGTCTGGAGCGGCGTTGCCGGCCTCAGCCCTCTGGGGTTAGAGGTGAAGAGCGGAGACCACACCGGTTACAGAGTGCCAAGTGTCTTCTGCACTTTTATTATCATCACAGTCTTTGCATCACGATACATAGCAATGAGAGCAGGTTTCTTTTTAAAGCTTAGTATTAAATATTAAATATCTCTCCCCACTTTTAATTTTACATTACTCTGCCAAGAAAAAAATTAAAACTCAAGTTATCTGGAGCCTGGACACACTTCCATGATTAGCCGGGCTGTGTGAAAGTTGGTGGCTTTGTTCTTCCTGCCGTGTGAGCAGGCCCAGGCCCTAGAAAGATGGGACCAGGTTATAACTGTTTCTGAAAAGTGTGCTACAAAAACGGATGGCCTGGTATAAGCCAGGTCACATGTCACGATGGGGGTGAGGGAGGGGCAGTTTCTTCCAGAAGCGGGATTTCTGAGGAGTCCCAGTCCATCGCTTGTCCCCAGAATGGAGCGAGGAGGGATCAGAGCTCACCGTGAGCTTCCCAGCCCCATCTCTGGGAGGGGACAGCAGACACCAGGCCGAGGGGGCGGCCGGGGGCAGGGTGGCTGCGCCTGCCCTCCCCCACCTTCCTCAGCGAGGGAATGGAGAGTTTATTGCCCAGTGAGTGTGAAGTGGGCTGAAGCTTGGTCAGTACTGAATTCTCTAAAGAGGTTTCTTCTAGAAACAGACAACTCAGACTCTTCCTCTCACTTCAGCAACAAAGTTATTTTAAAAGCACTTGGGAAGTTCCTCCTGCGCCCTTGGGGGCGGGTCAGAGGAGGGAGTCGTCAGTACAGCCCCCTTCCAGGCCGTATCGGAACTCTTGAAGGTTGGAGACCCCGTAGAAGTGGACGAAGGCGGCCGCCACCACCAGGACATGGAAGATCTGATGAGACTGGAACTGTGGGGACAAAAGAGGAGCTTCAGGGCGATGGCAAGGAGCTGAGGAACTAGAGGAGGTAGTCGCCTCCTCTAGTTCCTCCGCAAAATTTTCTGCACCATAAACTGATAAATTTGTTGTAGAAAAAAAAAAGTGTAACTCCTGTCAGGGATTCGCCTGCCCACACGCACCGGCATGAGCAGGGACACGCGTCACCCCAGACTCCACCTGCCCCGGGCCTCTCTCTGCCTCTGACTCTGACCACCTCCGGGCACTCTCACCACCACAGCCCTGTGGAAGAGTCATTTCTTACCCATATGTCGAATTTTCCAGGGAAGAAGCGCTCAGGAATGCGTGCAGCATAGAGGCCGGCTCCGGTGATGTACATCACAGCCATGAGGAAGAACCAGCCCATCTGGCCCACCGTGGTGGCCTTGACAAAGCCCTCTGCGATTGTGAAGTGCATGGTAGGCACGACGCCGCTCAGGCCAAGCCCCAGAAACACCCCTGAGCAGACAGATGGAGCGCGTCAGGCACGGAGATGGCCCTGCTGCCCTACTCTGACACAAGTTACTTTCTGGTGAGCAGCACGTATTCAGGAAATTTTGCACAACATGGAGAGCCATCATCAGATGCTTCTTCAACGTCCAGAGTGGGAAGGAGGCTGGGTAAACGCTGACACAGCCATTCCCTCCTATGGAGTGCCAAGAACAAACACCTTGTGTTCTTTATTACCCGTTAAGCAGCCTAGGCGATCATGGACCTCAAAACTCTGATGGCTGCCTTGGCTGCAAAACCGAGACGGTGAGCCCGCGGGTGGTTTGCCAGCCAGAAATGAGCAGGATGAGCTTCCCATCAAGAGCACAGAAGACTTAAGGACAGGACTCTGACCTCCAGAGGAGACAGACTCAGGCGAAAAGTCATAAAAGAAAGGGCAGATGGCACCCGCTCCACACCAGGACCCTACCCATGGCTGCAGGGCAGGGCTCCACTTCACCTCTGCAGACACCCTGGGTGAGGCACCAGCCTGCAGTTGGCTGGTGCTCGATGAATAGTTAACTCTCTTAAATGAGGGTTAAACTACAGCGATGTTAAGTCTCAAGGGACTGGAGACAGTGGTGATTGGCGTGTGGCTGCAGTAAAGCTGGAGTCTGGACAAGACACCAGGAAGGGCTCCTGCTCACAGCAACCACGTTCCTCAACACGGCTCGTGCTCAAGGTGGTTTCTCTACCGAGCCACGCCTTTCATTCCTTCAGGAAGAGAACTCCAGGTGAGCTAGACTGTGCTTTGTACGTTTCTTAACTTCCTCAAACCAGGTATCAAAGTAGTTTTTTCTGCACTTTTAATTACTGTCCTATTAACATTTCACTGAAATAGTATGAAACTTGCAGGGGAATTGAGCTTTGAAAATTCATGCTGTTTTTAAAGTTCTAAACACAGATCAGGGTCTAGGTGGGGCCCTAGGGCTGACCCCCTTAGGCTCAAGGCCCAGACACCTACAAGGGGCACGCCGCCCTGTCTTGCAACCCACCTGCTCGTGTCTGCCGGTGCTTGGGCGTGGCAAACCGGTCCCACTGCGCCACGATGATGGCGGAGATGCCCAGGACGCAGACGATGGAGAGGTAGATGAGCCGCGGCTGTGGGGAGCAGTAGAAGGAGTAGTAGAGCCAGGGCACGAAGCTCCCCATGATCAGGAGGGCGATCCCTGAATAGTCCAGCCTGAAAGAGCCAAAGAACGGAAGGGCTAGTGGGAGGGCGGGCTGCACCGCTCTCAGGCTCCACACCGAGCCCCTCACTTCCCACACAGTCCCACCTGTGTCTTGACTCAGACCCCCACACGGTCAGGCACTCCTGTTTCCCACTCGTTTGAAGGGCATCCCTTTCCCCTGGCTTGTCAACAGCCACACCCCCTCACAGGCACTCAAAGTCAGGAGCTCCATCCATCACAATCCAGCCAGGCCCCAACTTCCATGCAGGAAGGATTCTCAGTATTCCCCAGTTCTGACAGTTTTAAAGCCAAAACGCTTATAGTGGGAGTATAACTAAGGGGGTAGTGTTCTCTTTTAGTTGACTTTTTAATAATAAAAACGTATTACTTGTTACTGGTGTTATTGAGAAAAACAAAATAACTCAGCATCCCTTCCAAAACCAGAAATACCACCACCAGAAACAAGCAAACAGAAGCCCAGGCTCAGCGCTGGAGAGGATGGGCGTCTGGGGCTTCTGATAAGCTTTCCTGGCTGGTGGGTGGGTGTGCCCGCAGGGGGCGGCGCCCTGATGGGAAGGGGGCACCTCCGGGCGCTTGGTGCCGAGAGCAGCCTGTGGCACCGCTGCTCGGGGGACAGCGCTGCACGGGGCGACGTCTACCCCCAGCGGGCTCTGTCTGTGGAGGAGGCTGCAGTGAGAATTTTCAGGAGGGACTTAAAGAGAAAAGTTTCCTGACCCTCTTACACCCACGAAATATCAGGGAATCTTGATGAGTCACTGCAGTCGCCAGGACCCCGCCAGCACCCAGATCACAGGGCAAGACAACAGTGCGTGGTTCTTGCCCACCGCCATCCTTGTGACTCACTTGGAGAAAGTCCGGGAGACTTTCTCTGAATGACAATAGACGGTGTGAAAGAGCCAGGAGAAGCTGAGGCAGAGCACCGCTCCCAGGAAGAACATCCCGAACACCACCTTCTCCTGAAGGGGGGCCATGAAGTACATGTTCGGTCTCAGCATGGTCAGGATTCCCAGAAAGAGAAACAGCACAAAACCTACAGGAGGGAGAGAAGGTCGGTCCGAGGAAGAAGGGGACATGTGACGGTTAAACCAACCCTGATGCTCCAGGCTGAGCTGCGGGCACCCGCAGACCCAAACAAAAAGCATCTACTGAAATTCTGATGTTTCGTTTAGACCATGGCTCTCTGACGTGGGCGGGCTTGCCAGCCCCGGGCTGGTTCTGACCACAGAGGACATCTATTCCAATGTCTCCCTTGGCTTGCACACCCGTGATGAAGGGCCCTGCGAGCTCCCTGGCAGTTTAAAGACACCGCCAGCTCCCTCATAATTGCAACAGTGTGTTTCTCCTTCCCGTGGACAAAGGCCACACAACGCCTGGGCAAGCAGCAGATGAGCCCGCTGTCCCCCAGAGCCCTCACCGAGCAGGTGGGTCCAGATGTTGCCCGTCTCCGTGTGGATGCGGAAGATGCTCCTGAAGCAGGCGCGGAAGGAGGGCATGGGCGGCCGGTGGCCATGCAGCAGGTAGTCGTTATCCTTCAGCCAGTCCGGGAGCACGTCGTACGGGATGACCCTCCAGCGGCCCTCCCAGACCTGCAACCGCACATGCTCTGAGCGGGGCTGCCCCCGGACCCGCGCTTAGTGCCGTCTTTGTTCTTGTGTCAGCAAGCTTATCTGGATGTGCTTAGCTAAGCAGGTCAGAATACGGCAGGACCTCCTCTCAGCTACTCGAGTAGTACAGATTTACCGCTCCGCCCACATTCTGGTGGCTGTCTGTCATCGTGCCCCCTTTAGCGGCTAAGTTCTCACTGTGCTGAGACTGTGACTTTTCGGAGCAGGAGTTCTTAACCTAGGATGTAAAGACAACGGACAGTGTCCAGAGAGCGGGTGTGCAAGTTTAGTGTTAGAGCTTGTGACTCTGTCACCCGTGGAAATCATAGATAGTTTCATCTTAGTTTTGCAGATATCAGTTTCTGCGCGTCAGAAATGACAAGCTCTAATAACAGAGCTCGTCATGAATGCTTGTTCAGTGTGTTGATAAAGGTGCGGTGCTCCCGTCTCGGCCCCAGGCGGGTGAGCCCGCTCCCTCCCTGCCGGGACAGGACCTTGTACACGAACTCCTCCATCTTCTCCATGGCGTGGTGAGCCTGCAGGGGCAGCGTGAGCACTCGCACCTCCTCCTCCTCTTCCTGCGGCCCCGGGCAGGCCTGCTCCTCCTCGGCCTGCGGGGAAGGGGAGAGCGGCTCCAGCCCTCGAGAGCCCCGGGGACGCGCGTGTCTGGCACCCACGAGCCAGACCACGCCGCCCACTGCCCGGCCTCTCCTGCACACAGGCCTTGGGTCTGCTCTCCGGAAGCAGGACGGTGCCCAAGTTTACGATGTCACAAGTGCTGGGGGAGAGTGCGCTGCAGCGCCCGGGGGAGAGGCCAAGGGAGCCGGTGCCCAAGGTACAGGGTCAGCAGCCCAGGCCTGCACTCAGATCCCAGCAGCCCACCTCTGTCTCCAAGACAGTGGCCCTCAGCTTCCCCCAATTTCCCAAACACTTCTCGTTCAGACAACTGAACGAGGAAGAATAAGACAGAGGCTCAGAGATCTGCTAAGAGTCTCAATCTGATTGGTGCGCTGTGCACCAGCCCTGGGACCCAGACAGTGTCCAATGGCTGCGGGGAAAGCCGGGCCTCAGAGCCGGCTCCACAGAAGCAGCAGCAGGAGAGCCTGACAGGGCCCACCTCTGGGGAGACCTCCAGAGCGGAGGCGGGGAGGACAGTTCCTCCTTCGAGGCTTCCTCTTAGATCTCGTGATAGAGGAACTCCGCCCCTCCACCCCGCCCGAAATCCATCCTCTGTCCGCCTGGGCACAGAGTCCCCGGTCTCCCTGAGTGGGGATGCTGCTGGGGTTTCGCTCGGTCAAAGTGAAAAGCCCACTTGGCTGTACAGGAGGCCCTGCCAGGCGCCTCCAGGAAGGGGACCTTCTGTCCCCGCTCTGCCCCTTGGGGACTCTGAAGAAGCAGATAAAGTGGCCAGGTGTGGCCTCCACAGTGGCCTGGGGCGGCACCTGCTCCTCCCACGAGCCTTCCAGCTGGCCGAAGTAGCAGGGATTTTCGATGGCTCTATGGAGCCTGGCCTGATCCGGGCTGACTGCTTCCTGCCTTCCATCAGGTCAGACGGTCCCAGGGCGCTGTGGCTCCGGGGAGACTGATAGGTCTCAGGAGAGGCTGACCGGGGAGATGACTTACTTTGGTTGGGCTGGTGACCGCCCGCTTGCCCTTCTCCTCGAGCAGGGGTCCCAGCTCAGCCAGCTCCACTGTGTCGGCCGCCCTGTTGCTGGCGGGAGCCCCGTTGCCCTGGGCCACCGCGGGTCCCTTGTGAGACGACATCAGGATGGTACCTCGGGGCCCTCCGGCTTCAGCCTGGGGAGAGGGTGGGGTCTCTCGGCCCCAGGGGCCAGAGAGCTCCCTGTGATGGGGACACTGGAAGCAAACACAGACACAGGGTGTTGACAGTTTATCCTTCTGACGTCTCATTTCTGAAGTCAATACTGAGAAAGAGACAGCCCCCCACTCACACCCTCTCCAGTCCCAGAGGCCAGTTAACTGCATCTCTCCTTCTCTGTACCATCAGCCTATACAGAGAACCTCACTAACCTTAAAGGCTGAAAACCTAGTTGCTTCAAAAGATTTGCGTGTTTTGCACCAAACTGTCACCCCAGAAAAACAGCTCCCCACACCCACACCCCTCCCACAGACACGGAGCCCATTCAGTGAGCCAGGTTTATCCCAGTTCCCAGAGCTGGCCCTGGAAAAGCCTGGCTCTGAGACTGAGCAGGAAAAAGAGGAAGCCGACACCTGCCTGTAATCACCACAAGGCCACCCAGGCTTAGAAATGAACTAACTGCCAACTGAACTCAGTGGGCTTTACCTAAAAATGCCCTGAAACGTGCGCTCCGCCTACAAAAGTGGGCTGAGAGTGGGCTAGCTGTCCGGGGGTTAACTTCTCTGCAAGGTCTACTGTTTCTGTTAGAGGATCACCGCCTGGGTCTGTGAGGAGAGCACACTTTGCTCAGAGTGGTGTCTTGCAGCAGCAATAACTCACCTGGCCGTGGGAGGCTGAAGACACGAGGCAGCCCACCCTTGCCCTGCCACCAAACCGGCTCAGCACGAGCCTGTCCCAGTGACCACAGATCGTAACCTAGGCCCCACTCCAAAGAGCTTTGGAGCTCAGATGGCACACAGACCCTGTGGAGGCAGTCTTTAATCAGGCCTCAGGAAGATAACATGAACATTGAGAGGGGGGGAAGTGCCCCAAGGCTTCCAACTCCCCACTCCCAACAAAGGAATTCACTGCTCACAGCAACAGCAGCCAGAATAGCAACATTTTCCTGCACTGGTCACCTGAGCCCTGGAGCCACCAGGCAATGCAGAGACAGCCGCGTAACACCTGCACAGAGCAAGGTGCCCTCCAGGGAGGAAGCAGAGCTCCGCCTGAGGGGCCACCTCTTTCATCAGGGCGGTCAGCACAGCCTCGCTTCCAAGGGCAGTGTCTGTCTCCATAGTGTTCACTGCACATCCATCTTTGACATGTGTACCTGCTCTTTTACCCAAGAGTCATCTCGATTCCTTCTCAGAGATTGTGACTGGATCTATGTAGTCAGGTGAGGGCAGCCCGCAAGTTTCAAAACAGTCATGCCAGGCTCAGCGCATCAGCACTGCTGAAAGCTGCAGGCAGCAGAGAGCTAGCTCAGGAGAGCAAACGGCCGTAACTCCATCCACAGACCTCGCTGTGGTGTCAACACACAGGCGGTGCCTCCTCCTCCACACATGCAGAACTCTGATATGAAAGATGCCAGCCTGCAGCTACAGTCAACGACTGAGCCCAAGGAGAACAGGAAACCGGAGGCCCACGTGAGCAGAAACACTGGGCAATCTTTTTCAATAGGCTGACCACAAAACACATTTCCTCAAACTCAAGTACTACTGAGTGAACAGCTTTAGTAAGAAATAATTTACACTGCAGTGAAAAATATGGATAGCTTTGGGCATCCCAGAAAAGTTATGAAAAGGGGAATATACTTAGCTAGAATACAGTACTTGAGAGGTGGCCACTAGGGTTAAAAAATAGATATTTTCTCAGGTTCTGGGATGCAGTACTACACAGATAACTAATTTATACATATCCCCGATTGTGGTCAGAACCTGTATTTCAGAATAGGTGGAAGAATGCAGGAGGCAGCATTCCCGCCAGCAAGCATGTGACCCACTAGCTAAGGCGTTCTGTGTTTGTGCCTCTAGGCCGCTCTCTGTCCCCTCCCCAGAGTAGCCAACACACCCCTGGAATACTGAACAAATGCACTTAGTGCCAGCACCCTAAGGCACTCTAAGGTACTGTGCAAAACACCAAGTCACACAAGTCACTGTCTTGAAAGAGCCTGTAATTCGGTGGCATGAGGTCACCTGTGGCATGTACAGAACCAGTGACAGCGTCACTGCTCCAGCAGGCAGCGCAGGGAGAGCGATGGCACACAGCAAGCTCAGGTGAGTGCTGTGGACCCATCTCACCTGTGGGGATGAGAATGACACACACTTTACATTGGGCAGTTAGGGTCAGAGACAGGTACAGACTCCAGCCTGGTGCACTTCCTAACTTCCTCACTGGGTCTGAAGTTTTCACGCCCTCAAGTCTAGCGTCCTCTTAGGAGGACCTCAGTCTCGTGGCAATCTTCAAAGGCTTTCCTCATTCAGTCGAAACCACTTTCTGTCACTTCTGAGCCCCTCTGGCTCCCACGCCCCACCCCCAGCATTATCTCTAGACCCAGAGTCACTAACTCTGACAGGCACCCATTAACTCACAAGCAAGGCACCAGTTACAACTCATCACACAAGACATATCGTCACGAAACAAAGAACAGACAATGATGTTCAGCGGAGGTCATGTCACCATAGTGAGCAAAGTCCACTTTCCAGCAAGGTCTTCTAAACTAGCAACACAGGGGCAGGAAGGGAGAGAAAGGGGGCGGAGGTCTGGTAAGAAAGAAAAGCAAGTAATGCTAGAACTTGAAAGTATACTTGGCAGGGTGGACCTCTCACAAACGGCTGGCAATCGGGACAAGCAAGCCTTTCAGTGTCCTCTGTTTAAGGTCAGTACCAGCCCCTGGAGTGTGAGGACGGACTCCATGAGCACTCAGAGCCAGATGGGCTTCACTTTCCCACGAGCTTTGCTTCTGATTTTTTAATATTTCAAGAGTTTGTTCTTAAAATTTTTTTAAAATTTATTTATTTATTTATTTATGGCTGTGCTGGGTCTCTGTTGCTGTGCGGGCTTTCTCCAGTTGCGTGAGCAGGGGCTCCCCTCTGGTTGTGGGGCACAGGCTCTAGGGCATGTGGGTTCAGCACAGGCTCAGTAGTTGTGGGGCATGGGCTTAGCTGCTTCTTGGCGTGTGGGATCTTCTTGAACCCGTGTCTCCTGCGTTGGCAGGTGGATTCTTTACCACTGAGTCACCAGGGAAGCCCTCATAAACTTTCCTATCCTGATATATTTTAGAGGAAACACATTTCTCCTCAAAATCACCACACCCACCCAATAAAGCAATTATAACTGGGCCAAACTCCTGAGTGCATTTTTGATGGGATTTCTTTAATTCAAGCTAATTTACCACTAAGCTCTCCAGCTGGATAACCTATGACATTAGAGGGTAAGGCTGTGGAGGCAGGGCTGCCTGTGCTCCTATAAATAAGATTATCTGGTGCCAAACTTGGGAAAGGACTGATTCTTAGTTGCCAGCCTTTGTTGGTGAGTTTATTTCCCTCACACTTTTGGAGACATTTATTTTGTGAACCGGTTCCCAAGTTATTCACATTATAGTACACTCCTCAGGAGTCAAGGCACAGAACATCTAGAAATTTTTAATCTAGGGTCCCTGGGCCCTTGGAGGTTCCACAAGTTAAGCTCCTTCTTACGCCAACCTGACTCTCACAGTAAAGCAAGACTTGTTCAGTCGCATCTGACTCTTTGCAACCTCATGGACTGTAGCCCTCCAGGCTCCTCTGTCCATGGAATTCTCCAGGCAAGAATACTGGAGTGGGTGGCCATTCCCTTCTTCAGGGGATCTTCCTGATCCAGGGATCAAATCCACATCTCCTGCACTGCTGGAGGATTCTTTACCACTGAACCACCAGGGAAGCCCAAAGCAAGACTAGTCAAAGCACTAAGGACGAAGAACACAGTCATCTTCTCCTCTACTACTCTGTCAGGGAAGGTGGTTTCATAGCACTGCTGGGGGCAAATGAATCAAAGCAAAGGCTTATGTTTGAATACTACTGAATTGCAATAATGGAGCCTCAGCTTTCCTATTTAAGTACAAGTGTCACCGACTTGAGTCTGCAGTGAAAAACCAACAAAAAAATCTAACTTGCTTTGTAGCTCTTCCCCAACAGCAATAGGTCTTTTTTGAATCCCAAACAGATAGGTAAGCTTTCCAAATGCCGCAAAACAAGGTAAAAAACAGGAATGTGAAGGTGTTTCATAGCAGCCCTTGATTTTAACACCTGGCATTTAAGTACATTACAGATATGTGGCCACTAGAGTCAACACATTATATGGTAACTGTATACCGTGAGAGCCCCGATGAAACAGAAGTAAATGAGGTACATGTCTAAAAATCGAATCACTCGGAACCAGTTTGCCTCAAGGGCACTTTCAAGGATCTCTTCAATCTAAGACAGCTGAAACTTTGTATGCCCCCAAATTTCTGAGCAGGAAAAGGCAATTAACCTTGAAAATAGTGAAAGGAACAAAGTCCAGTGGGCGACATGAGGGACAAATGGGCATTCAGGACAAAATCCAACAACTGGGATGGAGACCAGCCCCAGGAACACCCCAGCAGCACTGATGAAGCGTCTGCACGCACAGACGGCTTTGGTCTTCCCTGGTGGCACAGGCGGTCACGAGACCTGGGCTCAACCCCTGGGCTGGGAAGATCCCCCAGAGAAGGGAAAGGCTACCCACTCCAGTGTCCTGGCCTGGAGAATCCCATGGGCTGTATGGTCCACAGGGTCACAAAGAGTCAGACTGAGCGACTCTCACTGACTTCACCAGTATGATCACCAGTAGGCAGCGTAGTGTTGCAGGTGTGTCAAGCAGTTCCTTTTTGGCTTTTTATTAAAGAAGTCAAGGAAATTCTTAAGGAAATAAAGAACAGACTTATTGGCCTAGAAAGAAGTGCAAATTTCTTTACCCGTCCACAAATAAGCATGGCATTGTGGCTATAGGGACAAGGCAAAGAGAGGAGTCTGGCTTTGCATGGTGGCTGGCCTCGATTTTAAGAGGCAATAACTTCTCTGTTCTACTAGCACCACTACAAGACTAAACACCATAAAGTGCT